CTGAAATGTACCTAAGTATATTAAAGTAATGTGAAAATCTGATTCACAGATTTGGATAAACTTTCAAACTTTTTATTCCTTGTAAAATTATTATCAAGTTGAAATGGAAGTGAAGTGCATTTAAAGACTTTTTGAGTAGAAAACAGTAGATTTCCTTCAGGAGCTACTGGGTCAACTACTTTCATTTTTTTTAATGAAATAGATATTGTTCACTATTCATGATAAGTGTGAATAAAAATGAAACACTTAGTTTAAAAAAATAGACGGCAAAGAATGTAACACATTCACTCCTTATATTCTTAAGTCTTCTCTCATTTTGTGTTCTTTTGTTCTGTAATTGGTTGCTGGCACCCCCTTTAACCCACCTTAAAGGGCAAGCAGGAAATTCATGTTTTCGTTCATCAGCCCATCCCACTGAAAAGCGTTCGATATTAAAACAGTTTGCAAGGAGCAAAAGCAGGGGAAACAAGAGGCCCAGCTAGCCTGTAGCAAGATACTCGCAAGATTGGCTGCAACATACATGGAGTCTTGTTCCTGCCCAGTACTTGCATGGAGATATCAAGTTAATTAGGGTATGAGTCTGTTCTTCGCTTTAAATGTGACCTTGTATTATATCTGTGGCTCTCTGGTTCATGTGGTGTCAGAAAGCTCTGGGAAAGTCTTTCCAGCTGCTTGACACAAACTGGAAAAAATGAAGCATTGATGTTTCCTTTTGCCTGAAGGTTTTTAGAGCAGCAAATTACTGCAGAGGCAAAGTTGGTGTGGTAGATTTGCTGTGGATGTCAGAATGCTGCTTTTGTCTTTTAGCTCCTCGCCTTCCCTGGTGATCAGGTGCAACTTGTGGGGAGAGGTCGGGTGTTGGAGGGAAGGCGGCTGGCGGGGGGAGGATTGGTTCAGGAGGAGGTTACATGGCAGAATTCCCACGAATGCTGGCGAAGGATGAAAAAAGATAAAGAAATCTTGTTTTTCTGAGCTAGAGGATTCTCTGCATGACTTCCCCACTGTTGGGGTGATGAGCTTTCAGGCTGAGATTTTATTAACGATTCATATGGAGATTGAGGGCAGTGGAGGAGCAGATTCTCACATAAACTTGATCTGTCCATGAATGCAGCTCTCTGTTTGCCCTGACCCTGCCTGGCTTAAGACACTGCCTGTGAGGCCAGCGTGCCAGACACAAAGAAAGAAATGAAAGGCTAGCACATTCCAGGAGTCTGCACAAAAGACAGAGCCGTTTCTGGTCCTCTCCCCAGAGAGGATCTTATCTCCGCGTGGCCAAAAAAACCCTAAAATGTTTATTGGTATATGTACAGTTTTAAAAGCGATGTGGCTGTTTATAGATGTTTTGTTAGGTCTTCACGTTTTGTTTTCAAAACTTGTGGAAACTAGAAAAGTCTTGGCGAGGGTACACTTTCCGAAGTTTAGAGTTGGAAGTCCCTGGCCTTGAAGTATTTTTACTTTCTTGATTGGTAGGTAACTTGCAAAATGAATCCTCTCTGGCTTTCAGAGAAGCCAGCACAACATTTTAAAGCTTGAGTTGACTTCCTGACGCCTTGTGACTCTGCAACTTTGGAAATGTGTGACCGCGTTCATGCTTGAGATGAAACTGACATGAGGCAGAAGCCCAGGCATCCCCAGGCTCATGACTAGGACAGCAGGGCAACATTTTTTTTTTTAAAAAAAGGAAGAAGAAGCAAGTGGAGAGAAAAGTTTGAGTGGGACAGAAGTCCAAGGGAGACTGGAAACTTTTAACTTGGTAACATGCCTACGATTATTGGCAGTTCACTCTATCTAGAATCTAGATGCAGTGCAACAGTGGGATGATATGCTATCGCAAGACATTTCTCTGTAACTAAACATACTGGTTTTATTGTTTAACAAGTGCACACTCTGCATGTATGAAGTATTTAGGTTTAAAGGATAAAAGACTGATATACATAATTCTGTTGCTAAGTGATGTGTTGCCACAGATGCTTACAAATCAGAAAGCCCAGAAACATAGACTCTTGAATTTTGGGTGCCTGTGTAGCTGTTCAAGTTGTTTCAAAACTTTTATGGTTAAAAAAACAAAAAACAAAACAAAACAAAAAACACAGTAGAGGAATGCAGGCAAATGCCATTAATTATGATAGTTTTTGTTCCTTTCATTTTATAGTGGTTTTATTTCCATGAAATTAACTGTTGTACTTAGGCTAATTGTCAGTAATTGGTGACGAAATCACTTCATTGTTTTTCTATAGCATGACCCTAATTAGGGCTTTGATAGACCGGCCCAGCCATGTTCTGTATTTTACCTCCTATTGCAATCAGTGGTAGTTAATAACAAGTGCAACTTAAAAAATCTATACGATAAAATGTTTCTATTAATAATTAAACAAGTCTTTTTAAACAGTCTGTCACATATTAATTTTGAAACATGGTCATTGAAGGAAGCTTTCGTTATATGTTTAGTTGGTTTCATGAAACATCAACTTATGGTTTCTGATTTGAACTAAAACCTATTGGAATGATCTATAAAAGAATAGAATTACAAATTTCAACTGCTTAGCCACATGCCTTTTCATTATTCTGTTTGTGTCTGCAACATTGAAATTAGCATTGCTTTTGTAAGACACTTTTCTAGGTAGCACAGGGCTAGATGGTATTGTCTTTCTTTTCATGCCTGAGAGTTAAATTGAGTCTAATAAAATGTAGCATATTGTTTACTCTTGATTTCTAACTAGTTTTTTATCTGTTTTGTTTTTGCACCTAAGAGTGTGTTTTGAAGCATTATATTTCAAGTGAATATATATATATATATATATATATATATATATATATATATATATATATATATATACAGTTGAGATGATAAAAGCTTGGTTTTATTTCTTTCCAGCATAGAAAAGTGTGTTACTTGAAAATAATAGATTATAAAGAAAAAAATGGGAGAGTACAGTATTTTGTGAAGTGAGGTTTAATGCCTATGGGAGAAAATAATACACTATATATCCCATGAAAACAATCACAGCCAATGCTATTTTGCCTTTTATTTTTACTTAAAAGAATTATTCTCAACTGACTTTCCCTGTGATTTTTTATGAATTTGTAAGTTTCAAAAGTTTTCCAATACTTTGACAAATAATCTCCTTGCTTTTCTTCCTCATTCTAAGATACCCTTAGCAATCAAGTGCATTCTGCAATTTACAATGCACTCAGTTTGTTTTAAATGCATCCATAATGTATAACGTAGAGTGCAGTGTCCCACAGTCATCCTGAAAAAAAAGTTTTTAAGAAGCAATTAGAAAAATAATTGCCTATTAAAAAGTGAAGATTGCTTTGAGCAGGGAGAGAAGAAATTGAATGTTGAAATTGAAAGCATTCATTGTTAGCCCGACACATATGCACCAAATCTGAAATTAGAGAAAAATCACGAAATCCGTATTTTGGCAAGGGGAGTTGTTTAAATTTTCTAAAGCTGTCAGCCCATTTTCTCTATTTTTTCCCCTGCTAAAGAAAAACTTCCAATGGAAAGCCTCACCTTTTGTACAAAGTTGAAATGTTTTATTTTTTGCAGGATTGTCCTACACTGTACAAATTCAGAACAATTCAATAGCTTCCAGAGAAGGAGCGGGCCACAAATGAGAATCTTTCCATCATTTCAGAATGTCCATGGCAAAGCACAAAAACTATATAAATCTGTGGTTGTTTCTTTGAAAAAAGAATCTTTTGATTGCAGCAGTTATTTGAATACCCATTCAGGCTCTTTTGTAACGTGTTGTAATAAATGCACGTCTCCTAAATGAAGAATGCTCATGAGGGGACAAAACTCAGACATAAACCATGTTTAGATGCTGCATTTCAATAGGTTACCCCATAGGATTAGACAAAGGTTCTTTTACTTTTGATTTCTCTTTCTTTCTTTCTTTCTTTCTTTCTTTCTTTCTTTCTTTCTTTCTTTCTTTCTTTCTTTCTTTCTTTCTTTCTTTCTTTCTTTCTTTCTTTCTTTTTCTTTTCTTCCTTTCTTTTTCTTTTCTTCCTTTCTTTTTCTTCCTCTCTTCATGCTCTAGAAAATACATTTCCTTAAGCAAAATTCAGTCTGTTCCTTTCTCACCTTATTGGTATATATCAAGTATGTTCTCTTGTTTCTTATCAGTTTCAAATATATAGAATGTGAAAAACAGACAGGATTGAGACTGACTTTAAGTTTGAAGAATGATAAGGTTACTTGGGAAAGATAATTGCTCTCTTTTACTCATCCAGGTTTCTCGTAGACTCTGGAGAGTAAAGTGGGTCTGCTTTTACTTTCTTGAATTTCCTAAATGTTCAGGGACAATACAAAAGAGGAACCAAGACTCTGGTAATAGTACTATGAGCTCCATGCATGGGCATTTGAATCCTATAGGAAAAAAGCCAATAAATCCAGTCTGCTCCTAGCATAATCATACTTGACAACCATACCGACACCGCTGGGTCTACACGGGCAGCAGCCAGCATCTTTGCCTGCTCCAGCCCCAGAATCTTTTATAATTGTAATAGGTTTCATCAGTCCAAGCTGTGCCAACACCCCTAATTAGCCACAGCCTCATTTTAAAAATTAAAACCACCCTCACACAATAACACCCGCAACAAGAAGCACCCCACAGCACTCAGTATGTTCCTGGTGGGATATTCCACTGTGGACAGTAGCATTCCCTGACCTACATAGCCTTGGTGGGGTTCACCCACTTCCCTAATCAGAGGTGTGCCCACAGCAGAACCACCAGATCCCACCAAACTCTGCTGCTGTTTGTTGCATTTTTAAATCTTTTTTTCAGTGATGTGCTGGTTCATACCAGAAATAGCCTCTCTGTCTTACTGCTAACTGTTCGGCGGCCCGCCAACTAAGCAAACAGCAATGAATAAAATAAAAAAAAAATGATAAGAGGTAAAAGATACTTATACCAAGTTAGTTTTAGTTTATGGTGCTCAAAGAAGTTCCCCATTCCATGCAACTTGTTTTTTTGTTTTTGTTTTTCCCCCAGGGGTGAAGCAGCTGCAGCACTGGGGAAAATGGGTCCTGGCTGCCTTAAATAGCACCAATCACCATAAAGCAACGCGAGAAGCCTGAAGGTATCTTAAGTTTTATCTATTTTAGAATGTCCCGAGTACATTTGGTCTCACAGTATGTGCATACCTGCATAAAGACACACGTTTTTCCTATTAAATCCACATTTTCTGGGACCTTATACTATGCTGGGCAACATAAAATCTGTAACTTGGGGGAAACTGACATGACATCAAATGCAGGCCTCAATTGTGAAAGGCAGATGAAACAGGTTCGTTCATGCCTGGCTTCAGCTCCTGCTTCAGGGGACCAATGTCTGCAGGTGAAACAAAACAGTGTATGTTTTGCCTTTTGTTCCCTATGACCCATTGTTTCATTTGTAAATAATGGTTTCATTACAAGCTGCTTTGCTCTAGAATCCAGTGGTAACCTGAGACAAGAGATTATTTTGCAAATTACCTAGCCTTATACCAGCTATGAAAATAGGGTTTAACAGCAAAGACAGGCTACTGGAGCTATTCTCTCTAAGCCTGAGCATAGCAAATAGTCAAGCTCTAACTCATGGTTTGGATATATTTTTGAGTTCTCTATTCTGCCTACTTGGGATGAGATGGGACCCATATTTTGTCATACTATGCAATGTATCATTTTTGCGAATACTACACTGAATAATAAAATAAAAACCTATAAAGAAGTTAGCCACTGATACATGCTATAATCTTACATTGTTATTTAAAAGAATAAAAGAGCAAAATTATAGAGAGTACAGAGGTACGCTCTGTATCTCTGGAGGTACATAGCTTTCTGAGCTGTCACATGGCCATGGAAGGGAGACACTGTATCTAGAGCAGTCACCTATATCTAATTAAGTCTCAAAATAACCTGGAGAAAACCCACTGGAATGAAGCATTAAAAGAAAATGCACGTTTGGAAACTACATGGAAGACATTTTTATCATACAGACTTTTCGTTCCAGGAATAATTTTTAACAAGCTCAAGATGTGGCATATTAAATGAATGATGGCAACAAAGAGCTTAGCATCTGGCCGCACTGTAAACTGTCAAAGATATGGAAACATCATAGCAGGCCATGCGATTGTAGTTAACACAACCCGAATGAGGTGGATCTAGGCGATGCGGCACCGTCTTGGTTTTCACATGTGCAGTGTTGCTCTCTGGTTTACTTCTGCCTGTGATCGATTCCCATGCAGAGCCAGAGCTCTCCAGGAGAAGGCTGAGATTAGAACAATGTCAGCCTGTGCTTTTAGCAGAGTGATGAGGTTATCAATAATGCATTGGAGATCTCAGGAACCTGGTGCATGCGGGCATCGCAGCTGCCCGGCATTTATTGTAGGACTTGCAGGTTTGAGCTGAGATGTCACCATATCTACTTTTGAGGCAGCCCCTGATGCATTCTCAAGAAATCTGGGGGGTTGGGGGGATGGGGTGGTCATGGGGACAGCTGCTGAGATGACCTAACTGAAACATTACATTAGAGGAGGTTATTTAGGAGTGAGAATGCATCTATGAAATTGCTTTTTTAAAGAAGCCTATTGAGTCCGCGCTACCCTCATAACCTTTGTCTCCCCAGCTCCCTTCGAAGGTTTGTAAGTTGTGTTGTTTCCCTGACAAGTTTATTCATATCCAAACAGCTTGCCTGGCAGCAGCGGCCATGTTCTGTACTTGGGCTTTCTGGTCACGGTGGTCGCTGAGAGTAATAGAGAGGGGGAATAAGTGAGTGTGGAAATGCAAAGCTGTCTCTTGTTACATTTTATCGATCTCATTCTGGTGTCATTCAATTAAGACAGAAATGTGATGGATAGTCCCTGCACAGATTCCTGGGTTGCTCTCCATCCATCGCCAAGAAAGCTTTTGTGTTTTATTTGGAGTTGGAGGGAGGGGGTGAGGAAAGGCCATGGGCAAGTGGGAGAAATCAAAGATGCTATGTGATCTGAATTACAAATCAATGTCTCCCCAAGGATGCTCCAAAATGTCAAACATACCATGTATATATTTTCACGTGTTTTCTCAGACACAGTTGATGTGCTTCACCCTCCTGGTTTTCACATGTGCAGTTTTGTGCGCTGTTCTACTTCTTCCTGTGATCGTATGGGATGGGTTACCACATTTTAAAGTAGAATTCATTCTTTCTAATATTTTCAAAGGCTTAGGAGGAGGCATCCTCATCCTCCCAGCACGAGATAATTAAACATGAGCCACATGGAAAATAACTAGTCAAACTTGTGCCAATTTTAAAATTTGAGAACATGAAAAATTCTCTTGTCACTTTTTATGGACCTGTGACTCTAGGGTGACCTGTTTTGGCAAATGGATTTTAAAGCTGGTAAAATGAAAATAGCAAATAAAGGTGTGTTTGTTGTTGATGTTCTTAGTTCATAAACCAAACACTCTTATTATGCTACAAAGAGGTATGCTATTATGAGTAAAATATCCAAATTCTGGACTGTATAAATTCCAACCCTTACTCTTGGTGGCATGCTTTTCCTTAACTATATCACTCCCTCTGTATTTGTTAACATGACAGTGATAGTAGTTCATGGATGCGAAACACTGTAAAACTACAACTCCTATAACCAAAGTGTTTTATGTTTTTAAAGTATTGAAATAATTAGTGTAAACAGCTACTAAAGCAGGCTATGCTAAGCAGACTCCCGTGGTACCTCTCAAAGCAATACCAAATAGATTTAAAATGAACATTTGGGATTTTCAAATCAAGGTTATGGGTTCTGATAATTAGTGCAACCTGAAAGGCAGTGAGGAATACACATGTAAGCAGGGTTTTTAATATCAGAGCAGTATGTTAATGTGCAAGCTCCCCTATGCACTTGGTATGTGACATTGAATAAAATACATGCATACTCTAGTTCAAACCTTACTTCTTTTATCTGAAAAATAACAGAACAGAATGACACAATTAAGTATATGGAAATGCCTAATCCATGTTTGTCCAATGCACTTGGACCATGGCAGATATCAGACACATGTAGCTTCATCCTGAACTCCCCCTTGATGGTTTTGACACTGATTTTGTCCTCTAATAAACTTGCTCAGTCATTTGAGAAGGGAATGGAAGCAAAGAAAAATAGCACAGTCGGGCCCTTCCTCTGTGAGTGAAACATTTTCCGGATCCTAATTCACAGAAGCTCATTTACCAATCGGTGTGATATTGTATTAAAGAATTTTCCAACCATCCACTAGAAGTTTGTCCTAAAACTTCATTTGTGGAAGGAACTCTTAAGCCAAGTTGTATTTGTCAAAGATGTTTTTAACTGTCATGCTTTAACCTGAAAGTTAAAGAGCAGCAGTGAGCTAACGCAGTTATTTACTGATTTTACAATTTTGGGGGCACCAGAAAATGATTTAGTTGGAAATTTAACTGGTAGCTCACATTGTAACTTCCTCAGTAAGCTAAAACACACACAAATATGGTATTGCTGGTACATGCATAGCCTTTTAGCATGGCTGAAAGATAAATGTGTGCATGTGTGATGGAATTTGGCTCTCTTCATGTGTTTTTTCCCCTCCCCCTTCTGGGGTCATACATGTTTAAATAGAGTGCTTAATGAAAATCATCTTCATGAATCGAAGCTTATGTCAAACATACATCAAGGCATAATCTATTTAAGGAAAGGCCATCTATAAAGGTAGGTAGTAAGTAAAATATTTTCCCTGTGATCAAAACACAATAAATAATTAGATTCTTTATGTTGAGAAAGTTTTTATCCTAAGTTTTGCACACAGCATTTTTTTCAAGGATCTACCTTCTGTGCACTAAGGTTGCTTAACACATCCTTTCTGAAAATTACCAACACTTTGGTCGACATGAGTTAACAGATTCCTACAGTCTCACATAATCATTCTGCACTCCGTCAACATTACAGTAAAATATATTTATTTGTGTGTTTATATGGGGCATTAATACAAATAGTTATCTACTCATTTCATGGGAAGTGTGGGCAGGTACTCTTTGATGTCCTAGACAATGTTCCTTTTTCCTCATTAAGATAGGAATTTCCAGGCTTTATTTGGCCATTCTCAATTACCCTTTGCAGTGGTTTGGGTCCATTGGGGGGTGAAGTGCTCTTCACTTCTGTTGGGTCCAAGGAGGTGCCACTAAGAAACTGCTTTCTAAGATGCCTCACATTCTATGGCTGATTGACATAATGTTAAATAATTAAGAAGGTAGACTTTTAAAAAATTAGAAGTAATCATAATTTACAGAAACATAGACCCTACATTGGAATCTTACCTTATACCTTATAACTTTCCAAATTCAATTATAGGAGAACACATACTCTAATATTTGTGGCAATATTGCCTCCATTTAAATTCATAAAGGACTGTGGTCATAGCAATTTACCAGATAGTCAAGCACCAGTTGCCAATGATATTTTTCTCCTTTAAAAATACTTTTGCTGCCCTCAGCTAATATTAAAGTCCCTGTTGTTATTTTCCATCTCTCCATAGGCTCTCCTTTCGATTAGAATGTAAGCATTGTGAAGTAAGAAACAACTGCAGATGATCAAAGAGTGTTTGTTGAAGTAACCATGCTGACTCAATGCCTAGGGTGTCCTCAGGAAACAGAATGTTGCTTTATTGTCTCCCTTCCCATTTTCTATTCATCAAAGGGATTTAGAGAATGATGACATCCTTAGACCCTGGCAGTTCCCTCTCTCCAACAGTCACACTTAACTTGCAAATCATAGAATAGTTTAGGCATCTGCTCTACATTTATTGTTGAACTCACATGATGTTCCAGGCACTCTGACGAGTGCAGAGTATGAACATTCGCAAGTTAGTAAACTACGTACAAGTTCATATTAATTTTTGTAATCACTTGTGCTTATCTTGAAGTTTGGAGGATCTGTCTCTGTTGGTCTCTGTGCTTCCGTCTTCTTCTTCCTGGTTCTTAAAGACACGCTATCCTTTCTGCATCGGTTTCTGGCCATAACAGCTGGATTCAGAATGCTTTTTCAGCAGTTGATGACCACATCACAAATCAATTGTTTTTTCCGATGTAAATGACTTTCTTAATATATTTTAA